CCATCAGCCCGCCCGCCCGCCGGCGGGCACCGCGCGCCCCGCCCGGACTGCCTACGCCCCACCGCGAGCCGTGCGCCGGGTCCCGCACCCAGGGCCCCTTCTCATTCCCCACGGCCCAGGACTTCCAACCCCTACGGCTCCAGGCGTTCCACCCCCACTGGGGAGCCCGACCCCCCAGTTACCTCCTCGTACCTATGCCCACTGCTTCGCACTCCTTGTCCAGCCCTGCGTCCCTTTGGGCCCACAGCGGTCCTAATCCTGCCCTGCTCCTCCCCGACCCTCCCTCCAATCTTGCGTCCGGGTCCCTACCCCGTTCGGCCCCGCCCCCCATGGAGCGGTCCTGAGCCCCGCCCTCCCCCAGTCCCTCTACCTCCCCAGGGGCTAGGAAGTCGCCGGCAGCCCCAATCCTCGCGCCTAGGTCCCACCAACCTGGTTCTTCCTTCCACTTCATCCCTTCCCTCTCCTGTCCTCTGCACGAAGCCTCCCGGGCCCGGGAATTTTTCTAGAGGAAAAGAGTAAAGTAAGGCACGAAATCCTGGCGCTCTGTGCCCCTCGCACAGAGTGGTCCGCGGATATCGTGCAGCCTGAGACACAGATACCGCGTGGACCCACAGGGACTGCGGGCCCCGGGGCCGGGCGCGCTGGGGGTAGAATGGGTTCCCTAGAAGGAGAGTGGCAAAGACTGCTCCCCGGATGCGCACTCCCCCTCCCACGGAAAAATCCACTCAGCGGCCCCGCGGGTGGGGTGCGCCACGCGGTGAGTAATCGCTCCGGCGGCCGCCGCCCGCCGCCCGCTCCAGGTAACGCGGCCGCCCGGAGCGACGCATAGTTTATCTTCCTTCTTTTGCGCAAAGATCTTTCTCCTTATTATTTTTGGCCCCTGCCCGGGTTTCGGGACCCCTCCCGGCCGGGCGTTTCATCCCCCTCCTCCTCGTCCCCACCCAGTTGGGCGCGCAAGAGAACGAGTTTTTGTCTCTGAGGCCACGGGAGGGGGTGTCTGAAATGCGGGTTCCTGGGGATCCCAACTTCCCCGGTTGGGTGGCAGCCCCCAAATCCCTGCAGCTAACAGAGGCTCCTAACTGCCCCTTCCCTGAGGAGCCTGGGTTCTCCATGTCCCTAGCCAACTGAGAGGGTCAAAGGGTCTCCGGAGGGCTTAGAGGTCCCCCACTTTGTTCAGGGGGGAAAAGAAAGTAAAAGACCGACAGACAAGAGACTTGATGCCGGGCACCCCCATCTGGATCCTGGATGGGAAGGAGAAGGAGGTAGAACCAAAGCGGGCTGTCTGCGCTGGGGCGGCCCAGGCCTCTTTCGCTGTGTCTCTCCCTGCACGGGGCCAGGCACCTTAAGGTTTCCTCGGGAAGGTGGAGCGCGACAGAAGTCTCCCAAATCCAACTCTTGGCACATGGCAAGGCACCCTCTCCAGGGGCAGAGGGGGCCCAGGCCTGTTTGTCCCTCTGCGAATGGTGTCGTGGTCCTACCTGCCAATTGGTGCCGGAATGAGTGGAGGCAGAAGAGCTGAACTGAATTTAGGGTCCTCCCTTTCCCGCCCCTCCCCCACGGCCCTTGGCTTGCAATGCGCCCCAGGGAGTCTGGCCCCCACCTGGGGTACTTCTGACTTCTGAACTGAAATCCTTCATTTCCCCCTCCCGGCCTTGCTCCTCCCCCATCCAGCCAGGTGCTAGAGACCTGGAAGCGTGCGTGACGGCTCTCTCCTGCGCTCTTCCCACACGTCCAATCCATCAGCAGATCCTGTTGGCTCCGTTTCCAAAACACATCCCCAAACCGAGATTCTGACCCCCCGCCCACCTTGTCTTGGTCCAGGCCCCTCAGAGTCCTTCTGGGGTGCCGTGGTCCAGCCTCCGGTGTGGCTTTTACCCCTGATCCTGCAGCCTTTGTCTGGATGGCGGGCAGGGGGAGCTTTTGAAAGCAGCCCAGCCCAGCTTCTCCGCCCTCGCACCTTCTCCCCGTGGCCTCCCTGCTCCCTTCCCTTTGCCTAGCCTGGGTGCCCGGAATGCTGCGGGCTCCTCACCAGCCAGGCCCATTCTCCATGGCTCTTCCTAGGGCTAGGATGCTGCTCCCCACCCCACCCCCCAACTTCTCCTGGGGGTCCCAGGCCCTCCGAGAGGCCCCACCCACCCCGGAACACTGTGCCTCATTTTTCTTTTGATTGTCTTTGTAACCTAGGTTTCCAAAGCACCGCCTTCCCTCTCTTGAGTCTTTACTTCTTCAGACCTTGAGTACCCTAAACCCCCTTAGTTAGGAGCCCTATTGGGTTCTCTGAACACCGAAGAGGAGGAGCTCAATAAATATTTGCACAGTGAGAAGATGTGGGAGAATTCTTAGTCCCTCCAAGTAGCAAGAAAAGCCTCAGCAAGCTAGGGTCCCAGGCTGGCCATACCCCCTGACTTGCCGTGTAGACAGACTATACACCTTCTCTGGGCCTCTTGCAGAGACAAGAATGGATCACATCCCAGTCCTGCCAGGTCTCCCCCAGGAGCTGACTTCTGGCCTTTGGGTGACCTTTGCCCTATGCCTTGACTTTAAGGAAAGTGAGTTGACCTCAGGTGCACCTTTCCCTGCCCTTGCCCCCAGCTTCTCCATTAACTCCTTCCTTCCCACCCTGCCATCTCTGCTGAGAGAGGAACCCCTGGTCAATATTGACTGAAGCCCTTAAAGGTGGCAGGGAATGTGCACAAAGGTTGGGGGCTCTTCCATAACTCACAGGTCATCTATGGGTGACAGGTTGGGGGCCCTAGAGCCCCAGTTCCTGAGGAGGCACACTTGGTTCACTAGGAGCATCACCTAGGGGTCTGGTGGGAACCCAGGCCAGTTTAACTAAGAGCCCTCTCACCACACACCAATTTTGAAAGAGTGCTTGGCTGTGCGAGCCTTTGCTTTAGGGGTCAGGAGCTGAGGGCTGAGGCATGGGCTAGTGTTGGGGCTCTGTGCCCTGAGGCTTGGAATCTGCACCCCGGAGGCTGAGCCTGAGAGCCCCCTGATTCCTGGGCCTGAAGCTCAAGGTGCCAGGCACTGGAGTGGCCCTGAGACATCGCAAAGTTGCACTAAGTGCTGACCTGGGCTAGGACAGTGGATGCCCTGCCTCTCTGCAGCCCAAAGCAACCCTGAGTCTGGAGAAGAGGAGTACCACTTTTCTCTACTCCGCTAGCTGAGGGTGTCAGCAAGCCGCAGGCGCCGCCGTGCCTAGCCTCCTCCTTAGTCTGAACCCAGCTTGGGGATGGGGGTCATCAGGGTCGCTGGGAGGGCGGCCAGGGACAAAGGGCGCTTGTCTGCCGCCCGCCCTGACCTCCCGGCCGGCCGCTGATTCACGCCCCGCGGCCGCAGCGCCCCCCGCCTGCCGCCCCCGCCGGGCGCCCCGGGGGGTAGGAAGTGGGGGGGCGAGGGGCGGCGCCGAGTCAACTTTCCCTCTTAAGCCCGGGAGGAATGTCGGCGGATTTCCTGAAACCCGACCCGGCCGCCCGCCGGCTGCCCGCCCCTCACCTGGACTGGCTCCCCGGGGACGACGGGCGCGGGCTCACCTGGGGGCCGGGTCGAGGTCTCTTCCGCTGCCTGCGGAAAAGGGGGACGGCCATCAGTTTCTTTCCCTCGGCGCCCTACCCTCCAGCCTCAGTTTCCCCTCCTGCAAAAGGGCAAGCGGTGTCCCTCGTTCTTGCACCCTCAGCGATACTTCTCATGCCTTTGCAGGCCTCCGTGTCCTGTCGCCGGTCACCTGGGCCAATCTCCATGGTCAAGCTGCGCCCCGATTGCCTTATTTGGAAATGGGGCGATGCTACCAGTACTTGTCCTCTAGAGTGATTGCAAGAAGTGTTTGTTTGCAATCCTTGAAGGACAGTCATTGTGGAAAGGTTAAGCGCCGAGGACTGGGGTTGGCATGTGTGGGCTTGACTCTGCTCTGCCCGGGAGCCGCAAAGCTTGGGTTTTCCCACGTGGGATATGGGACAATGGGGGGTCACAACCTGCAAGTAGGTTCCCAAGGCCCGGCTGGCCTGGTCGCGGGGTTCCGGCTGCGCGGGAGGCCCTGGCCTGGCTGGGCGGGGCGGGGGAGGAGCGTGCCGGGATCCAGATGTTCGGGGTCCGCCAGGCACAGCCGCGCCTGATTAAGCCACGTGGGGGCTGCCGGGCCGTGAGATGAAAGCGAGGGGCCTGCGGGGAAGGGGCGCCACCCCCTCCTCCCCGTCCGGAACCTGCGGTGCCCTCTGACCCGCCGACCCCGCGAGGCTGTCGCCCGTCTGCGGGGGCGGGGCGTCGAGGGGACACACGCCCTTTGCAGGCACCTGCGCCGACCTTGCAGCCCAGCTTGGGACATCTGTTCATAAGATCGGGGCGTCCCCAGGTCCATGTTTGAAGAAGAGGGAGCTAGAGGATTCCTAATTCCAGGTCTTAAAGCCACGGTGTCGCCACAGGAGTGGTACTGATGGAAGCCACAAGTGTGCCTGTTTTCCCACGGGAACTAGGAGTTTTAATAGCCCCACGGGCGCCTCTGTGCCCTGTCCATAAAGGCCCCCGTGAGGGCCATTTTGGAGACGAGAACCCGGTTGTCCAGGTTCCTGCATCCGGCATGAGCGGTGGAAGGCGACGCCACTGTCAGCCGGGCAGCGGAGGGACGCAGGTCGCTGCGTCTCGGCCCTGGTGCCGAGGGAGACAGTGCCAGGTAAGGGCCCGGGCACCCTGGGCTCTTCGCCTCCACCCTCTACCTCGGCGTCAGCCTCACCGCCCATTTTCCCTCTCTCGTTCCTGCCCTTTGTCCCTGTGACCGCGTTCCTCTGGTCCCCGCGCCTGGCCCTCCTGACGCCCGTGGCCCGTGGATCTAGCGTCCATCCTGTCTTCTTTTGGCTCTGGGCCATCGATACCCGGCCCTGGGGACCCCAGACCCGGCAGTGCCGGGGGCCGGATCCACCTGCCCACCCCCCCCTAGGTGCCGCAGCCCACCCCGCCCCCCCTTCCCAGGCTGCCTCGCTCGCTGACGTCAGCGCCGCCCCGCAGCCAGCATCCCGCACCGGCGACCATGGCTGCGGCCGCACTGATGTCGCCGGCGCCGCTGCTGCTGCTACTGCTGCTAGCGTCCCCGCCCGCCGCCCCCGCGCCGCCGGCACGGGACCCCTTTGCCCCCCAGCTCGGGGACACCCAGATATGCCAGCAGCGCTGTCGCGAGCGCGACCCCGGACCGCAGCATTCACAGGTGACGCGCACGACTCGGGATTCTCTGGTGGGGGGCAGGGATGCAGACCCGGTGACTACAACACCAAGGTCCCTCGGAGGGGGAGAGTGTCCGAGGGTCACTCCTAGAACAGCAACGATGTTCCATCTCCAGAGTGAGGCCGGGGTCCCCAGGGGGGACAATTTGGGAATGAAGATCCCAGCCTAGGAGCTCGACGTGGGGGGTCCTTCAAGGCCGGAGGGGGTGGGGCTGAGACTGCGCTGCCACCTCCGGCGCCCCCTCCCTCTGCTGCTCAGGGACCCCCGCGGTGCCCAGGGCCCATCTCCCGCCTCTGCGGCCTTTTTAGAACTACGCAACTACTAGTTCCTCAAGCCGTTAGCGCCCCAAAACAGTTTTAGAGGCACCCCCCCTTCCTGAGGTCTGGGAATCTCTCCCAAGCCACTGCTTCCCTGAGCCCCTCATTTCTCCTGAGAGCTAAGAGCTCCCAATATTCCTGGCTTTTGCCAACCTCACTCGTCTGCCTAGATTGAAGGACCAACACCCCTTCCCAAACACCCCACCCATTGCTGAGCCCCGTGTCCCCCCAAGGCAGGGCCCGAGGTCCCCACAGGGTCTCCATATGACAGGGCCGTGCAAATCAGCGCTTGTGAGCGGGGCTGCCGGCTCTTCTCCATCTGCCGCTTCGTGGCCAGGAGCTCCAGGCCCAATGCCACCCGGACTGAATGCGAAGCAGGTGAGGGCCAGGGTGGGCATGTGCTCCAGGGTGGTGGCAGGGGCCAGGAAGGGCGGGTCCAGTCACCCCAACCCGCCCCCGCAGCATGCGTGGAAGCCTACGTGAAGGACACTGAGCAGCGAGCCTGCCGCGAGGGCTGCTGGATCCAGGTGCCCCAACCAGACCCGGAGACCCAGCCAGAGAAGGTGGGTGCCCTATACTCAAGTCCTGGGCCACCCTACCAAGAAACCCCCCCAGCCTCTGCATTCCATCCAGTCCTGCTTAGTGGCCTCAGCCAAGCCCTGTCACCTGTCCAGGCCCAGTAGTCACCTCTGGCATGGGACCTCCCACTTGTCATCCCATCTCCTCCCCCTTTCTAGGAGTAAATAGCCATAAACACAATCACAATGCATTTATCAATCACTTATCTTCATCTGGCCCTGGCTGTAGCCTGCCCAAATTTTTCCTGCCTTGTGGACATGCTGGGCGTGTTTTCCTACTGTTTGGGGGCCCAAGGGACAACTCATGTTATGCAGTTAGAACTGTGGTGAGGCCACCAGACCTTGTGACTACCTTGCCTGAGCTCCTCTTTGGTGTCACTAGGGCTGCCAGGTGGTGGTCTCAGCAATTTCCCTGGGACAAGGAGGTGGCCGCGGGTATCTGAGGTGGGCAGAGCTGAGTTTCAGGGCACAGCACCCTCCCAAGTACACAGGGCCTAGCCAGAAAGGACCATTTCTCATCGGCATCCAGGGGAAACTGAGGCAAGGAGGTACACAGCATAACCATAGACCTGTGGTCTGGGGTTCCCCAGAATGCCCTTTCCCTACTTTATTCCTCTGCACATCCAGAGAAACAGTCCTGTCATTTTGTCGCCTCTTTTCTTTGAAATGGGACCAGAGATAAGGTTTGTGGTACCTTTGGCTGCTGGTCACTTAGAATCTAGGCCACACCAGGGGCTGGGCAAACATTATTGAAGCTTACAGCTGTCCTGTGAAAGGAGACTCCCCTACCTCTGTTTTAGGGCCCAGAGAGGCCAATGAATTTTCCCAGGGCCGCACAGCAAGCCAGATGCCATGTGTAAGTCTATGCCTTAACCAAATTGCTCAGCCAAACCCAAGATCAGCCAGGTGCCCTCCCATTCACAATGTTCTACTTTGTCACCATCATGTACCTTGGGCCTTCCCTCACCAGAGAAAGGTCCTGGAAGCTCCCAGTGGGGCTCTGTCCCTCCTGGACTTATTTTCCACTCTCTGCAATGACCTTGTCAACTCGGCCCAAGGCTTCGTCTCCTCCACCTGGACATATTACTTGCAGACTGACAATGGAAAGGTGGTGGTTTTCCAGGTGAGAAGACTGCTGGGGCCACCCCAGGGTTGGGGGGTACAGAGCCCACAGGGATCAGGCTTTGGGCACCGCTGGATCCAGGAGCTGTGTCTCACAGTTGTGGCCCTCGACCCTACTTTCCTTTGTGGTGGCTTCATTTCTGGTTGTGCTCTTTCCTCCTGGCCGCAGAGTGGGTGCTGGGGCTCTAAATTACAGCCCCTCTGGGATTCTGGAGGGGCCGTTTGAACGTACTGGAGGTGGGACCCAGGTCCTTAGCACTGAGCCGTATCCGCAGCACTGTTTTTGTTTTGAGACAGATTCTGTTTACTTCCCAAAATTGCACAGGCTGGGCTTGAACTTGCAGTCCTGCCTTAGCCTCCCTGAGTGCTGGGGTAACAGGTGTACGCCACACACCCAGTCTTTGCTGAGCTGCAGTTGGCCCTGCCTGGTTTATCTAGCTTCAGAAGCTAGAGGACGGGGTTTGACAAACAGAGACCCCGTGAGAGTAGAGAATGTCTCTGATGTCACAGCCTACAGGGTCAGGGGTGTCCCCCCTGCTTGTCTGTAGTAGAACTTCCCTGCTGTCTGTTCTGCTCTGCCCCAGACCCAGCCTGTGGTCGAGAGCCTGGGCTTCCAGGGGGGCCGCCTGCAGCGAGTGGAGGTGAACTGGGATACCTGGAAGGGACGGCATCCCGAGGCCCTGGAAGTACACGTGGGTAAGGTCCAGCCCACTGTCACCAGAGGGCCCATGGACCATCTCCCAGGGTTCCACGGTCCCATTTCCCAGGGCTCTATGTCCATCTTCCAGGGTTCCACAGTCCCATTTCCCAGGGCTCTATGTCCGTCTCACAGGGTTCCACGGTCCCATTTCCTGGGGCTCTATGTCCATCTTCCAGGGTTCCACAGTCCCATTTCCCAGGGCTCTACGTCCGTCTCACAGGGTTCCACGGTCCCATTTCCCGGGACTCTATGTCCATCTTCCAGAGTTCCACAGTCCCATTTCCCAGGGTTCTACGTCCGTCTCACAGGGTTCCACAGTCCCATTTCCCGGGGCTCTACATCCATCTCACAGGGTTCCCTGGTGTGTCTGTAGGTTCTTTAGTGCACCTCCCAAGGTTCCATAGCTCAGCTGCTTGTCCATCTCTGAGTGTCCCTTGGTCTGTCTTTCCGGACTACATCTTCTGTCTCCCCTGTTCTCATGCTGCACTCCCAGGGTCCTGTTGCATGTCTCCCAGGGTTCCACGATCCATCCCCAGTCTCCACTCCGGCACCCCATGGTCCACTGCCCCAGGTCCTGCCTCCTTTCCCCACTCCGTGGTAGCTCCATGCTTCCTGTGGCCTTGTGGCAGAACCCTGGAGGCCGCTGAGCGATAGCCTCCTCTCAGACCCTGTAGGCCCCTTGGACAAGGTTCACAAGGCCAGGATCCGAGTGAAGACCAGCAGTAAGGCCAAGGTGGAATCGGAGGAGCAGGACAGCGACTTCCTCAGCTGCATGTCCCGGTGTGTGGCAGGCCCTGGGGGTGGGCAGGCTATGCTCTGAGGGCTCCTGCTCCTGCTCCTGCTCCTGCTGGGTCAGCACTGAGCCTAGGCTGGGTTGCAGACGCTCGGGGCTGCCCCGATGGATCCTGGCCTGCTGCCTCTTCCTCTCCGTGCTGGTCATGCTGTGGCTCAGCTGTTCCACGCTGGTGACTGCACCAGGCCAACACCTCAAATTTCAGGTAGCGGGGACCAGTGGGGATAAAGGGTGGGGTTGGGGTCCTGTCTGAGCTGGAGACTCAGCACCCCTGGCTCCCACAGCCGCTGACCCTGGAGCAGCACAAGGGCTTCGTGGTGGACCCGGACTGGCCGCTGTACCCGCCTCCGTCACATGGTTGCGAGGATAGCCCCCCACCCTACAATCTCAAGCTGGACCTGACCAAGCTGTAGCCCCACAACTAAGGGGATGCCCCAGGACCTCTCTGTTCTGCACCTCAAGTCTAAGGTTGGGGTGTCTCCTGCCCTATCTTGCACGCCTCAGTCCTGGGGGTGGGTCTGGCCTGGGCTCTTCCACTCCCTCTTCCTTGGGCTGCGCTTCTTCTGTCTTTACTCTTGTGGCTTTCAGAGTATCTGACCCGTTTTGTGTCACCTTCCTTTTTTCTCTGTCCCCTCTGTAAGGGGCTGAGGCACAGTGGAGCCACTTCCTCTGCAGCTTCCTTCTCATCCCTGAGATCCGTAGACCCGCCCCTTTGGGAGCAGGGACCCTGGGGACCTGGTGGTGGGCAGAGGAGGGGCGGGCTGGGCAGGAATAAACGCTGTACAGAAAGGCCTTCCTGGTTGCGCCTCTTGTGTTTGATGCTGTGCCCGCCCGGGGAGTGGCCTGCCGTGGCTGTGACTCACAGCCACCAGCTCCCTTCATGCTGCCATAGAAGCTCCCGGAAGTTGCTGCAGGCAGAAGGCACAGACCAGCTGCCTTCTGCAAGGACAGCCACCTCTCAGGCCACCATCCAGGGACAGCATGTCTCTGGAAAAGGCTGGGCTGGAGCTTGTGATCTTCCTACTTCAGCCTCCCAGAGTGATGGGCTGACAGGCGTGTGCCCCCATGGCCAGTTTTTATTTTTTAAAATTTTTATGAAAATATTTTATTGGGGCTGGGGAGATAGCTCAGTAGACTAAGTGCTTGCCTGGCTAGTGCAGGGTCCTGAATTCAATCTCTGGTACCGCAAAACAACAAAAAAAGGAATTATTTTTGTATTTATTTATTTATTTATTCATTTGGTACAGGGTCTTACTACACTGTTCAGACTCATAGTGATTCTCCTGTCTCAGGCTCCCCAGCACTGGGATTATAGGTGTGCACCACCACGGTGGCTAGCACAGCATGTGGTACCAGGGATTGAACCCAGGTTCTCGTGCTTGCCAGGCAGGCACTTAAGACTGCCGAGGTATCTCCCCAGCCCCATCATGTCCACTTTAAAGAAGCTATTTTCCCCCTTCAATTTGATATACCTTTTATTTCTTTTTCTTTCAAAAGGAGCTATTTTCAAAGGCCTGGGCAAAGTTGGGGCAGCCTATGGGGAGAGAGGCAGAACGAGGGACATGGATGAAGCTGTGGTTTTGGGTCTTGGGCTGCTGGGAGGGAGGCTTGGTCCTGTCCTCTGCTGCCTGTGGTCCTTCTGCAGGACACCTGGGGGACTGACCACAGGGCTGCCCAGCGCCCTGGGCTGCCACTCGCTTCCCTTTCCTCACCAACATGGCCCTCACTCCAGCAGACTGGATCCCTCCCTCCAGACCTCATTAGGAGCTGGGCCTGCAGCCAGCGAGTGATAGAAAGGACTCTGGCCACCAGAACCAGAAGGGGTTTCCTGGCTGAGAAGATGGCTCAGCAGCATAAGGGCCTGACTGACAAGCACAAGGTCTTGAGTTCAATCCCTAGTACAAAAATAAAGGGGAGGGGAGGCGTGGTTTACTGGGAGGACACAGATTGTGGCCTGGGCTGCCAGGGTGGGACCCAGAATGTCACTTGTACTAGGCAAAGGAGCTACCACTGAGCCATGTCCCTGTTCCTGTTTCTTTTTTTCTTTTTTGGTGGAACTGGGGATTGAACTCAGGCCCTTGCACTTGCCAGACAAGCACTTATTCTACTGAGCCATCTCCCCGGCCCCTTATTTAATTTTTAAAAAATGTATTTGGTGCAGGGTCTCACTATGCAGCTTGGACTCATAGTGATTCTCCTGTTTTCAGCCTGTCAAAGCATTAGGATTACAGATGTGTGCCATGACATCTGGACTCAGTCACTGGCTCAGGGCACCCAAGGGCGGCATGCAGTACCAGGAATCAAACCCCAGTCCCTGGGCTTGCCTAAGCAGGAGATTAGTCTGCTGAGCTATCTCATTGGCCCGTGGACTTGTGCATCTTGATCTTGGCATCTGTAGGGGATCGTGGAGCCCACCAAGATGACAGGATGACTGTCTACATATTTGCTGTTTTGTTATTTTATCTTTTGGTTTTTGAGATGGGGTCTTGCTGTGTAGCCCAGGCTGGCTTTGAACTCATGGTCTGTCTGCTTGAGGTTCTCCAGGGCTGGGATTATAGGCACAAGCCACCAGCGCATTCAGCTGCTTTCATTTCATGGCCATTTGTTTGTTATGTCTGTGGGTTGTTTGGGGTTTTTTTGCCCCCCACCCCAGGATGCCTTCAGGGCAGGTCTGGTTCGGCTTGAGGATGAGGGGATCGAACCACAGCATCATGAGCCTGACAGCTTTGTTTCAGCAGGCACTTAAACACCTGAGCTAATGGGCAGGCCCTGGTGTCTGTGGTATTTAAAGGGCTACTGCCAGATGCAGTGGTACCAGCCTGGCATTCCAGCTAGCCAGGAGGCTGAGGCAGGAGGATCTCAAGCTGAAGCCCAGTCTGGCAATTTAGGGGAACTGTGTCTCAGAATAAAAACAGCTGGGGGTAGCTTGGTGGTAGAGTACCCCTGGGTCCCATATCCACCACCAGTGTAAGCAGCTAGCCCAGTGCCAGCTGAAGGACCACTGTCCTCCCCCCCTGCCTGGGCAGCTCTGGCTTCCTGAGAGCCTGTCTAGATGCTCCCTGATTGGCACTTCAGCAGATGCCATCCATGAGACCCACCACAGGCTCCAGCCAGCCTCCCACCCACACTGGCCTTGTTTCCATGGCTACCGCTGAGGTCCCTGCACCTACTCCAGGCTCCCTGGCCCCCTCTCCCACCCCCACTGGATCCAGCTGGTGTGAAGCAGAGCCCATCCAGACCTCGCTGACTTCCGGGGTTCACAGCGGCTGAGAGGAGTCCAAACATCCAAATGCGCGGGCGAGAGCCCCCCCAGTCCCACTCCACAGTCTATTCCACCAAGGGCCCTGTCTCCGTGATCCAACCCCATGCTGCTGTCCCTCAACTGCAGGCCTGTTGTGTTCCTTCTGACCCCAGGGCCTTTGCACTCAAGTGCCTCTGCTGAGGCCATTGCTGAAAGGGCTCCACGTCAGTGGGAGAAGACCAGCCGCCCACAGTGCCACAGGGCCGCTCAGTCGCCCACATCTCTGTCCATCTTCTTTGTTCCTTTCCTGCCGCATTCATAATTGGTTTGTAATGATTTGTTTCAATGTTGGCCCTTTTTTTTTTTTTAATCTATCCGTCATTCCTTTTTTAATTTTTATTTATTTTATTTGTGTGTGTGTGTGTGTGTGTGTGTGTGTGTGTGTGTGTGTGTGTGGCCAGCTCAGCCCACCAGGGGGTGGGGCTGGCTGGCATGTGGTGCTGGGGGATTGAACTGCGGTCCCTGTGCTTTGCTAAGCTTGTTCCAAGTAGTGCTTTAGACCACTGAGCCATCTCACCAGCCCCTATTTTTTATTTTTTTATGATACTGGGGATTGAACTTGGGAGCTTGCACTTGCCAGGCAGGCACTTATGCTGCTGAGCCATAACCTTGGCCCTGGTTTTTTTTTAAATTAAGAAAAGTCTATTTATTTATTTATTTATTTATTTATTTATTTATTTATTTATTTATTTATTTATTTATTTATTTGGTAGAGGATCTCACTATGCATCTTGGATTCATAGTGATCCTCCTGTCTCAGCCGGGGCCAGCACGGCATGCGGGACCCGGGATCCAAACTGGGTCCTTACACTTGCTGGGCAGGTGCTTAGACCACCGAGCTATCTCCCAGCCTGTTTGTGTTTTTGTGAGACAGGGTGTCACTATGTGAGCCCAGGCTGGCCCCCAACACATGGTGATTCTCCTGTTTTGGCCTCCAGGGTGCTGAAATTATAGATGTAGACCACCATGTCCAGCTTATATGGGTGTTTGTTTTTTATTTGTTTTGCTCCATGTGTCTAGTGCATTGATTGTTTTGTTTTGCATGAGGCGGGGTCTTGGTTTGTAGCCAGGCTGGTCTCATACTTGTGGAGATTCGCCTGCCTCAGCCTCCCAAGTGCTGGGATGACAGGTGAGCCACCCGATGCCTGGTTCAGAGACTCTTTTATGTCTTCCTGAGCTGTCCCTTCCACACCAGCCTGGGCATACTGCAGATGCAGGGCTGCCATGGCCTCGACTGCAGCACTCACACATGCAGACCTTGGAGGCATGGCCCAGCAGTCCCTCCAGGGCCTCTGTCCTCTGGGCTCTGTCCACTCCTCCATCTTCCGCCCGCATCCCACGAGGACCTGCTGGTGCTGGTGGGTGGCTGGTTTGTGTCATGGCAACCGGCAGGCACACCCATGTGTCCAGCAGCACAGGGTTGCCATAGCAACGGACCATTGCGTTCCCTGGTGATGAGGACAGGGATCTGCCTGGGGGTGGAAACTACTGTGGAGGGAAGGGAGTGAGGAGGCCCCAGCGTCCACGAAAAACATAAGGGATACTGGAAACTCACAGGGAGGATGGGAATGGGGCCTGTTGCTTCATGAGGCTGGAGTTCAGGCCGGGCCCCCTCCTGGGGCTGCCCATGCCCCCGCTGGGGTCCCCACAGGGGCTGTGCCTGGTGGCTGTTTCCTGTGTGCCCCCTCTGGCCCTCGCTTCGGCTCTCCTCTACCTCTGGCACCTCGCAGCTCAGCCCAGACCCCTCTAAGTCACAATGCCCCAACTGAAGCATTTATCATGTTGACGATTAAGTGGTTGCTTCTTTGCTTGTGTGATGAGTGGTTTAATAAATGGTCCCTCCACCAGATGCGACACTCTCGGCGTCTCAGTCACAGCTGCGTCCCACACACTGAGGAGGCTGCTCGCAATACATCTTTGTCAACACTCCTCCTCCTCGCTGTGCCTGGCCCATTTTTCTAGAGCCCATGTGGCCTCATCTCTGTCCCTTGCACCCCCCTGGTGATGGTCTAGGGCCTTCTACGTTATGTCCACCTGGCATATTTGGGACATTCCAGACCTTTCCACAATGTTCAGAAAAGGCCCAGAATGTTCTAGAACATTCTGACTTTAGCTTTTACTACCTCCGGTTATCACCTCCTCAGGGAGGTTCTCCTTGGTCTTCTTGCTAAGTCAAGTCACCCTCTCTCCCATCTCGCAGCCTGTTTTCTTAATGGCAGTCATTACCAAGTGGAAAAGCTTTGGTCACTCATCAATGTATGAGTCTGAAATGTGACCTTCCCATCATAATATACACTACAGAATATCCTGGGACATGCGGGCAGGGTTTTTGTCTGGTGTGACACCTAGCAGGAGCCCAGCACTCCATTTTCTGGAGGCTCCTTATGTTCTCTCTCAGTCACACTCCAGAAGTGGCCCCAGCGCTGAGTTCTACTGGGGATCGAACTCAGGACCTTG